ATAAGAACCAAGAGACTCATGTAATGGTACAAGATCCCAATGATGAATGTAATTGTATTTTATACCTAAAATGTACCAATAAAGTTAATGGGGGAAAAAAACAAACAAACTTTATTATCAAACACACACATATACAGAAATTAAAACCGTTCAAAGAAGAACAATGCAAGGGAAAAAAACCCTACAATAATATTTAAATACAGCAGAACTCAGCTGAAACAAAAGTGAAAAGCACTTAAAGCACTTAAACAACACACTTTTTTAATAGCCACAGAAAATACTCCATGATGTATATAGCAAACTAGTGGTTTGCTCTGATAAAATGGCAGAAAATGGGAAATTGAAGATTTAATTTGTTAAATCAATTATTCTTTGTCTTATTTCTCTTTTTAAGTAAGCAGCCTATCACTGTTAAGTTTAAAAGAAATGGGGAGTCATTTAAATAGGAAAGTTGTAGCAGAAACGGTCAACAAAAGTATCACTCAGAACCTAATGACAGAACATAAACTAATGTTAAAAGAAACCAGGTGGGCATGGTAGCACATATTTGTAATCCCAGCACTATGGGAAGTTGAGGCAGGAAGACCGTAAATTCAAGCTAATCCCGGGCCACTTTCGTGACTGCAAGATCCTGTCTCAAAAAAGATTAAAAAAAAAACGGGTTGGGGATGCAGTGCAATAAAGCCCTGAGTTCAATCTCCAGTATCACAGAACACATACAGACCACCTAAAAATTCACCATATTAGCACTGATCTATGTAATAGATTTTAAAAAGTCCTAAAGTTAGTTTCAAGTGATAGAGACTAAGAAAAATCTCTAATTACAAGCCAGCATACTAAATACTGTAACAGACGTCACCATCTTGGAGAAAGGAAATCTAAATCATTGTGAGTAGGTAGAAACACACTGTGTTTTAAAGGACAAATGGAAACTGGCCTCATGTGTGGACTGAGGGCTTTGTTTTTGGTAAAGAAAACAGCACTTGGAAAGACATGAGACTAGAGACTAGCAAGCACTGCGCATTAAGAACCAAAATTAAGCCAGATATACTCTTATAAAAAATATACTATCAGTGAATTACAAGATTTTCATACAATACTGCATAATGTTCATTCAAATATTTATTGAACATCTAAGTGTCAAAGGCTATGGCAGGTAAGGTATTTGCTGGCAAAACAGAAACACTAATATTTAATTACAATTTGTGATAAAAAGGAAGACAATTTAGAAATGGTAGAAAATTTTTCAGAAAGACCTACTTGCAGACTCTTCAAAGAAATCTGTGAGAAATTATTACTTATAATGAGACATAAGGATAAGAAAGCACAAATGAAATAATGAGGGTAGGGGGTCAAATGTTGGGAAACAGTTTTAGTGAAAGAACAGCAGTCTGAATTCTTGAACAAGGAAAGAATGCATCCTGTTTAAAAAACAAAGCTGATGCAGCCAAGGCTTAGTAGGACAGGGGACTCAAGAGAGATAATTAAGGGCTTTGTAGATCACAGTGTAAAATTTGGATGTCATTTGAAATATGATGGACAATTACTGAAGTTTCACATACAGAAATGTCATGTTTGCCAATCAGATTTTAAAAAAAGTATTCTACTATTTACAGACTAGAACTGAAAGGGTACTCATAAAAGAATTGCAATAATCTAGTGAAGGAATGTACATTTGGAGAGGGTTGTTGTGGTTAAGAACAAGAAAGATGGATGATCTTAAGTTACAAATTCTGAGGCACAATCAATGGAATTTATTGACAGAATGAAGAATTGGGGAAAACAGGAATTGGAAGAATCAAAAATGACAGGCTCTATCAAATAAGTAAATCCCAATCCTGTCACAACTAGCATAGTGAATGTATTTAATTAGAAAACTCCAAAATTTTAATTACTGGTCACCTCAACATTCTGTTAAGAGTAAGAAAGTTAAAACATGAGATATTTAGCAAATATACATATTAAATCTAACACTTTAATATATTTAGAAGTATGATTTTCTTCATAATTTCAATAAGTTATTGAACAAATATTTAGACTCCCTACTATATATGTCAGTCACTGTTAAGTACTGGGAAAGAATCCAATGTATTCCTTTGAAACACAAACCACCTACTCTGTGTACTATAGCATAATTATCTACATCTATAGTAGTATCGAAGAAAACTAGTTTTATACATACCTTTTGAAGACTGTTTCGAAGATTCACAAAGTTTCATCAAAGATCGCTGTGGGTCAGTCTTCCATGAGATGACAGGTTTTTTTTCCTCTAGGCTATGTGTAATTTTGGTAGCAGTCATATGTCCTGCTATACAATTTTGACTGAACTGAGAAAGAATGTGAGAATTTTTCGGCTTTGTAAATGTATACTTTGAAGATCTATCCGTTTTGTTAAGGTCAGTTTGAGTTTCATTTGTTATGATCATACAGGATAGTCTCTGTGTACTTGACTTCTCCCTAGTAACAATTTCTGAGCTAGTATGATTTGAACTTCCTGAAAGAAGTGATTCAGAACTAGTCACATGTACTGGAACATCAGAATTATTCCAAGACACATGCACATTATTGATCTCACAATTTGAGTTCTTGGGGTACATAGTCAAATTTGTTGTTGCACCCAAAACACGTGGAGAATTTCCACACATTTTCTGCTTCTCTATCTTCACTGGTTTAACAAATTGTGAGTTATTTGTCAAGAAAGATGTCTGCACTGAAATGCTATCCATATTCAAATGCTTTGGTTGTGCCAAGTGACTTCCTCTTTTAGATACAGTAGACATGTTTTGGCCTCCATGTTTAGAATTATTATTGATCTCAAGAGTACTCCTGCTGTCCTTTATGTCTTGTTGCTGGGTTTGTCTTTCAATATCATTACATGCTTGATATAACAAATCATCATCTACATCATTTGCTTCCCAAGTAGTCTCTAATTTATGACATGCTTTAATAATTTCATTAGCAAATAACGGATCATTCCAATCATCAAAAAAAGAATCTAACTTTGATGCATTAGTTTGATTTGAGTTACGAACACTGGTTTCATTGACTAAAGTTGCAGAACCAAAAGAATCAGTATTAACAGATGCTTGGAAAGAATGCTTAAAAATGGGCTTATTTTTTGGTTCACTAGAGGATCTCGTGTTCAAAAAAGACTTTTCAGAAGCATTTATATTAGAAGTAAAGTTCATGTGAACATTTTCTTTTATTTTTGTCAAGTTATACTCAACTGCACAGTCCTGAGTTTTGTCTTGAGTAACAATTTTATTGAAAGTTCTGTCAAATTTCATTTTGTTTCCAGTGAGTGGTAATTTGCTTGGTTTACTGTTTGGATTTTGTGAAAATCTGTATTTTCTATTAGCATCTATCAGTTCTCCGTTATATGTGTTTGAAGGAAGATCTTGTAGTATTGTTGAATCTCTTAACCTGGTATCTAGACTTACATTCATTCTTGATGTACTGTTAACTTGGGCAGTTTTAGAAGGGAAAAGTTCAAGCATTTCGACATTTTGCATAACAAAAAGTTCATTTCCTAGTAAGCTTTCCCAATCTTCCTCAAAATCACTGGTAGAAAATGCATCCATGTGCTTATCAGATCCTTCCGGTCCCTTAGTTTTGGAAGTCACGTATGATTTTGTCATTGTGGGAGTATCTACTTGAGGAGAAACTGCTACTGGGGTTTTATTTGCTAGTTTTTCAGTGACCAGAGTTTTATTAGCAATGATATTCTCCTTTGTCAAAGCACTTTTTTTTCCAAAAGTAGTATTACTGTTGTACAAAAAACCATCTGACAGACCTTGGCTTAGCTGTCCACTACATTTCTGAGTAGAACCATCAAAAATTGCATTAAAGGCTGCTTCCAACATTTTGGTCAAATGGCTTTTGACTGGTGGTTTGATCATTTGCCACTGATATTGCAGTGTTTCCTTCCATTGGCTTCTTTATTGCAACATTATCTATTTCAGGAACTATATCACATGATGACTGCATTTCTATACAATTTTTCCAATTATGTACAGTCTCTGTGTCTGAAATTATCTGGATAAAATCATGATTCTTCTTGATTTGTTCTTGAATCACATCTAGCTCTTCCATATTTTTATCAAATTGTTTTGCCAATTTCATAAGTTCTTTTTCTCGATTTTTTGTTTTTAATCTGTTAAGCAATTAAAAATATTCTAAGAAATCTAATTGTATTATAAATATAGTTATTTAACATAATTCAATATGTTAAAACTCCAAAATGTTAACTTACAAAATAATTTAATTCCAAAATTTTACAACTCAAAGCTAAGAAAATTTTATTTTGATATATTTATAGAAACATTATAATTAAAATTAAAAATATTCATTGAATTTCAAAAAAGGTGACAAGTTTGAACTCACTTTGTGCAGCTCACTTTTACTCTTGATTTTTCTTTTGCTACACTGGGAGTACAAGGAATAGCAGTTGCACCAATCCAAATGCCCAGCATAGAATTTGCTGTTGACTTATCATCCTTTGGAAAGGGGGAGGGGGGAGAAAAGAAAAAATTGAAAATAGTGGGATATACTGAGGTATATCTTTCTGTACCACATGACTGAATTTTTCTTATTCCCAAAGAAATGTAATTTATTGTTGGACAATTCATGTAGACTTAAACTGTGATTACTTAGGTAGAATTAATGTTAGGACTGAGTTAAAGACAGGTCAGGAATAATGCTAAGAATGAGGCAGGGATAAGAACAAAATAAAACTAGAGAGAAATAAAAAACATTAACCAGGATAAAATCTAGGAAAAGGTCAGTTTAGACTTGGATGTTTTTATTAAGCTTTTCAGTCACTTATCACATAAAAAGCGAGAAGATGAGCCTTATGAATTAACTGTAAACCAAATCAAATTCATTAACCAGTTTTTACTTCATTTTTATAGTAACTAAAATGCATGAAAATAATTGTCACATGAAGTAAAAAAAAATAATCTTATGGGGCCAAGGATTTAGTTCAGTGGTACAGTGTTTGCTCAGAATGCACAAAGCCCTGGGTTTGATCCTAGCACAGACAAAAACAACAACAACAAATCTTATTATTAGAATACAGTGAACTGGAAGCAGATTCTTCCTACAATGCTTTAATATCTAGCATAATGATAGATATAAGGAAAATGCCATTTTACATTTATATGCAAGTAAATTTAAAGCACTCCTACAACTTGGTACTTTAAAATGAAGTAAGCAATTTTCTTAACATCCACTTAAACTTAGTTGACATAAGGTTTGCAAAATATTCAAGAAAATCATTTTAACTTTTGGATTCAGTATTTTCTTTCTGTGTCAACAACAATCTTCAAGGAATTAAAGGAAAGTAATATTCTTAATGATTTAATTATAGACTCTGACCACTTACATAGTACTTTTCAATTCATTTAAGTTTCAAAGATTTAATATATCAGGAATCCAATATATGTATTTTATTATTACATAACTTACTGACTCCAAACTACAATTCTCAGATGCTAAGGTAGCTAAATAAATTACTTCAGTTCATTCTAAAGAGTATACTGTATAAAGTTATAATAAATAATAAAAAGATATCCATCATCTTTGGACAAACACTAAATACTACAAAAAGTGAAATGACTGTTCAATTAAAATGGGAGTGCATATTTTAAAAATGGCATCTCTTAAAATGTTATAAAGAAATTAAATAATGATTTGAGGATAACTCACATGAAAATAATATAAATACTTTCATTCTGAAAATATGACAAGCTTCTAAAGCGATCTTAAGACTATCAAAAGATTTATATGCTTTAAAAGTGCTCAGTTGAAAAGGGTAATATCTATAAGCACCTATTTTCACTGTATTTTTTTCTCTTACACAAGTTACCACTTGCATTTCTTTATATGAGCTATTATTTCCAGCCCATTTAGGTAAAGGATCCAATAATTTACTCAACTATCTTTTTATCACTATTTAGGCTGGCCAGCCCAAACACATTTTATTATGCTTCTTTCATGTGAAACCCACAATTAATGAAGACTTACTGTTAACTTACAGAGTAAGTAAAATTGTGGCACAAATGCTATTTAACTAATGAACCACACATAAATGAATTTCTATGACATTACAAACATGGAATGTCGAACTAGTAGCAACAGAGTTGTTTTGATTGTGCTAGTTGTGATTTTGGATATTTTACAGCTAAGAAAAATTTCATATCCTGTCTCCTCCATATGGATGGTGTTGATTCCTCATAACCACACACTGGGCAAATGCCATCTATTGTTTATGGTCAACATATAGTAACTATCCAAGGGCATGTTAAGGAAAACTACCATCATTCCTTCAAAGAAATCATTAAGCAAACATTGTTCTATAAATTTAAATGTTGTTAAATAAGGAAAAGAGAGAAAAGAAAGCGAAGAAGCTCACGACAGTTTCATGTACCGGGTTTCTGTTAGGAATAGTGACAGTTAATACAATAAATGCTATTATGTTATTGGATTTGTGTCAAACAATTGACTTAAACTTGTATTTCTATTTTAGGCAAGTAGAACAATAACTGACAGCAGAAAAACTTTTGAAGATGGTTCTATTACAGGAAATAATTAAAATCATTAAAATTAGTCTTATATTTATAGTGTTCTACTTTACAATTTCTACCTAATTCAATCCTTATAAGACAAATAATAATTCATGGCTGAATGAACTGGGTTTTAAGAGTTCGACTTGCCTGGGGTCACACAGCAATAAGAAGGTGAATGAGGACTAAATCTAAATTCAGTTTTAAAGTGAAAAGATGCTAAATCAATAAATATGAAGAACAGTTTCAATGGTGAAAAACTGAACTACAGACAGCAAACAAATACTAATAAAAAAATCACAACTCTAAAATAACTAAAATACAGTCTTACAAAAATATATACAGGTGGCCCTCTGTGCCTGCAGGATCCACATCCATGGATTCAACCAACTGCAGACTGAAAATATTCAGAAAGAACTTGTGTCTGTACAGAACATGTATGGACTTTTTTCCCTGTCATTATTTCCTAAACAATACAGTATAACAACTACATACATTGTATAGATAAAAGTAATCTAGATAAGATTCAAAGCACAGGTGAGGTGCAGTGAGTGCATTTCAACAGTAGGGTAGTAGGCTAACATGTGACAACTGGAGTCTGATCTCCAGCAATGCATAAAAAGAAATAGAGAATATGGGAAGATGTGGATCAGTTATATGCAAACACTACACCTTTTTATATAAGGGAATTGAACACTGCAGATTTTGTTATCTGTGGGAGTCCTAGAACCAATCCTCTATGAATCCCAAAGAACCACTGAATATATTACTAATCTCATTTGTTTAACAAAAAACATGCATTTCAAAAACAGGAAAAATAAAGGTAATCTTTACTGCCTTATTTTTGGAAAATTATAAGACTATTATCTTTATATAAACAAACTGTACAAGGACTTACTGTACTTTTTTTTTTTTTTGGTACCAGGAGTGTACATTTTTCATTCTTTAAAATAAGATATAAAACTAGAGATATTTACCTGAGGAGCAATGCGATTAACAATATGTGAAATCACTTCACTATCTGTGGCATAAATTTGCTTTTTTCTTCCTTTACCTAAAGAAACAAAGACATTTGTATAAATTTATACAAAAAACTTAAATAATAGCTTTCAATTTTTAAAAAATTGTGAGCACTGCTTAGATGACTGCACTGACATTGCATGCACATCACAGAGACAAATTCACAAAAGATTCTCAGTATCTGTACTGTATACAAGTTCTTGGTGTTATCTGAAATTTTATTTAAATCTTAACCACTTAACAGATATTCACATAAAAATGTTAAGAAATTACCTAACTGTTTTGTCATTGGAGAATTTTGGTCCCAAAAGATATCATTCTGCCCATCTGGATCATTTGGAGAACTGAAGGTACATGATAACAAATCCATTTTCAGCATTCTCCTTGGTGTTTCATACTTTTCTATGTAAAATATGATTAAAATGACAATCATTCCATTTTAAAGCATTTACTTCACTATACTCATATAGCTTAGACTAGATTACAATATAAAATTTTCTTAAGAAAATTACATTAAACACAACTGAAAATTGTTTCACATGAAAATCCATGTTAACATTTCATAAATTTAATATTGTAGATAGCAAGTACTTTTTAAAAAATTTGGTAGCTGTATGTATGTACAATACTGCACAAGCTCAGTCAGCCCATTATCAATGAGAGATTTTGAGGAACTACCTGTAATTTACAGGTACATTTCAAAAAATCAAATGTTTCCTAACATAAAATCCAGTAAGTCTTTTACTTGCCCTTTGTTAACTCCATCTTTTTTTTTTTGTAATGAACATGTCACTTTTACAATCAGAAGGTAAGTTACTTTAAAATTTTTTGATAATGTAGACTAATAACATGGAGAAAGTCATCTATTTACTAAGTAGGTATGTTCAACCTGCTCGTATTATTTTTTTATTTCAGAAACACTTATTTTTGTTGTTTTTTTTTTCAGATAACGTCTTGTTATGTAGTCCAGGATGGCCTTGAACTCCTGGTGATCCTTCTGCCTCAGCCTCCCAAGTGCTGGGGATTATAGGCGTGCACCACCAGGCCTGGCTTCCAACCTACATTAATTAGCATATGCGATCCATTTCCTAGTAAGTTTTGTCTAAAATGAAAACAAAGCTTTTGTAAATAAGGTGGGAAAAGGGGTTGAAGGGAGGGTAAGGGAATGGGAAAAAATAAGTATCACGATATATCACGTACGGGTACAAATCCCTTATGATGAATGTATACCTAAAATGTACCAATAAACTTTTTAAAAAATTACTCTAATTTTTATAATTTGTGCTTTTTCCTACCCGAGTTTTAAGAACATGTTCCAGGAAAGGTTCTCTATGAGTTTTGCTTTTACTATATTATATTTGTTAAAAAGTCTTTTTAAAGGGAACGCCAAACACTGATCCTACTCTAAGGGATGTTACACGCAGCAACTTTTAGTTTCTTTAGCAGGACATAACTAAGGGTTTTCATAATCCGGTTCCCTAAAGCAAACTAGGGCAAAAAAGTTTAAGCAGAATGATTCCCCCTGAACAAGAAGCCGAGAAGGACAGGTCCGGCAGCTGTATCTCCTTGCTGCTAACTGGAGTGGCAACGCGGAGATAAATGCCCACGCAAATAGGTTAAAAAATACCCATGTCCCCCGGTGGCGGTAAGAGGGCTGCCAAACCTAACCCAGAAGTGCTAATCTGGGACGGAAGCGAGGAGTGGTGCACAGTTATTTATGGGCTCGCGAGGGGCGCGGCCCACAGAAAAAAAGCACAGTGGGGGAACCCCACCCCCACCCGCTTTCCCGCTAATGCCTGGGCTGTAGGCGGCAGCGCCAAAGACAGGTAGATCGCGCTGCCCGTGTCTCACCCTCCGGGTGATTTTTACTGCTCGAAGCGGTTGCTGGAGACCGCAGTCCAGGCCCGCGGGGATCCGAGCGGCGGGCCGACCTCAACCGCCTCCTCCCCGGCTCGACCTCCGAGCTGACTTCCTCAGGCGCGGCCGTTTTGCGCGGGGTGCTCTTCGGGCTGGGGGTGCCCCCATATTTTCTCCGCCGACTCATACCTAGGAGTCCCCCACCACCGGCCGCTTCGTTCACATTTTGCAAGGAGAACGAAGCAACAACACTACAAATCGGACTCCGCGCCAACAGCCGCTACCATTTTGGCTGGTGGCGCGCGCGCAAGAGGATCCCTCTGATTGGCTGCGTCTGGACGAGGGGCGGAGCCGTTCGTTTGCCGGCCTCGTGCGCGTGCGCAGCGGGGACCTCCTTCCGCAGAGGTAGGGGAGTGTTTTAGTCTCAGACTTCAGGAATGGAGGTCAGGCCATAGTACTTTAGGTTGAGATTACAGTGTGGAAAGGAGATTGAATCCACTAGCAACTCTTTATTGAATTTATAACCAAAACCACACATTGCTCAAATTCAGAGTATTGTGAGTTTTAGGATTTGTTAAGAGGAAACAGTAGATATGGATTAGGAGGAAATTAAATTTTCATAGATGATATGTGCATAGAAAAATACAAAAAAATCGCTGCATGGCCTTTTAGCTAAGATCAAGTGTAGAAAAATACAAAAAAGTAGGAAACTATTAAATTTACATAAATTATTTAAGTTAATTAAAATAGGAATTAAGAGCTGCTGGATACAAAGTCAATATTGAAAGATCAATTATGTTTCAGTAATTATTAACAAAAACTGTAGCATGTGATGGCATATGCCTGTAATCCTAGTACTCGGGAGGGAGACTGAGGCAGGAGGATAACAAGTTCAAGGCCAACCTGGACAACATAGTGAGACCCCGTTTAAAAAAAACACAAAAAACAAAACAACCTGAAGTTTTCAAGATATATGACATAATAGCATATGAGATAACAACTAGAAATAAATTTAATCAAGATTGTCATCTCTACACCAAGAACTATAAAATGTTTTTAAAAGAAATTAAGAGTTATTTCACAGTTTATACTGTACCTACTGGTTGTGAAACTTACTACTCTTACCAAATTGACCTATAGATTAAGTTCAAATACATTCCAAATCTCAGGGGTGTGTGTGTGTGTGTGTGTGTGTGTGTGTGTGTGTGTGTTTATAATGTGACAAGTTCATTCTGAGATTTATATGGAAATCCAAAGGGTGAAATATGTCCAAGAAACTTGATCTCTTGAAGAATAATGAAATTGGATATCTATCAGGTATTAACACTAAGGTTGTAGAAGCTAAGACAATGATATAATGGTAAAAGGCTAGACAGACAGATGAAAGAAACAAGGCGTGGTGGGGCATGCTCTAATCCCAGCACTCTAGAAAGCTGAGGCAAGAGAATCCACAAATGGAACCCAGCTTGGATAACTTGAAACCCAAACAACCTACCTTTCAACTACAGTGTTCCTGCAGACAGGTTCTTTGTGATTCTAGACCTTTTCTTTTCTTTAATGTTTACTCTTATAGTAAACTTGCTGTGTTTTTGGACTAGCCAATGCCAGTTGGTCTTTATTCTTTATATCTAGTGTTGTTCATGGTAGGATGTATATAGCTTTAAAACCAACCAACCAGCTAAGAAAGCAACCAACAACCGAACAACTACATTTCCAACCTTTCTTACAGGTAAAAGGTTCTACGTGTTGAAGTTCTATCCCAAAATCTCATAAGCCGAAATCATCAGGTGGTTTTCTGGAAATATCTTTAAAAAGAACAGCCAGTGGCTTATTGCCTTTCTTCTTAATAGAAACAAGGAACTATAGGAGCCATCTTGGGACTATGAGGCCTAATGCCATATTCTGGGAATGGGATGGTGGAAAGGAAAATTTCAAGGAACCTAGGTTCCTAGAGTATCACACAGCATGGTACTTGGCTTTAGTAGCCTCCCTCTAGATCAATAATCCTTTGTCCTTTGATAATAATTCTCAGAGTATGGTTTCCTAAATTAGTAGAATTAGTATCACTCTGAAATTGTTAGAAAGCCCATTCTTGGGTCCTACTCTAGATTTAACAAATCAGAAAGTCATTGTGGGTCCAGAAATTGTAATTTTTACAAGCTCCCCAGATGTTATTAAAACTTCTTTAATGTCTAAGAAACCCTGGTTTAAGCCATTGTCTTTCTAGTATTTCTAAAAGCTAAATGCAATTTTTAAAAAATGTGTAATTATGCATATATGGTTCTGAGAAAGTGGTCTAGTTTTAAAAATATGTAACATTCATACATCCTGTATATATTGCTCACATACACATGAGCATGCACATACATTTAGATACATCCCAAAGGAAATAGCCCAAATATTTATGACATACATTTATCTCTGGATTATGGCATTTAACTAATGCTTCTTTAAATTATTTTTATTCCAAATTACATACATGAGGATTTACTGCCTTTAAAACCAGAAAACTGTGGAGGAAATATGGCATATTGAGCCTCTAAATAGTAAGTATAAGAATAGTTCTGATGTGAGAAATAAAGGAGTTAATTACCAAGAATGGATATATAGACTTACATAAAAAAGGTAATAAATAAGATTTGCAATGTACCTAATATATTCACCGAAATCTTCACCACAATTAAGGTAATGAACATATCCACCACTCCAAAAAAATTTCTTTGTGCCCCTTTGTGTTTCTTTTCATTGAATATGTAATTGATATAATTTTCTTTTGACTAATGGCCATATTTAATAACTAACTCACAAATTTTCTAAAGTTTAACAGTCAGGTCTTGTGAACTAGTGTTAGCCTACTACACTAGCTAGCTACAGCACAGCATTGATTCTATTAACTCTCACTCTCCTTTTTCCTATGTAAGTAACTTTGGTTTCTTTGACATTTCCTCATCATACCTATTTTTCAAACTTTTCATCAGTTTAAAGTCTCTCAATGTTGTGGTTGAGCTCAGATCAAAAACTAGAGAGTCCTATACTGTAGGTTATAGGCTTAAAAATGAAACGAAGCAGTAAATGTTAAAGGAAGAGAAGACTGGGGTGATTTACTAGAGCTGAGAAAGGAGGTTGCTGGGTAAGTTAGCTCCATCCTAGAAGGGAACCATTTTTAACTAAGTCACCCTTCAGAGTTCGGTCTGTGAATGTCAGTAAAGGACAGAGTCTAAAACACATTACGCAATTCTGGAGTAGGGGAAATTTTCAAACACCATGCTTTCTGTAAGAACCACTTAGAAGTAGCTCTAATTGAATTCAGTCTCACTGATCACTGCAGGTACCAACCCCTGTCTGGCCTAGATCTCCGAGGAATAATGGCTGTGGGTGTCACAGAGGCAATTTGAAAAGACATTTTCTTCTACTGTTTTAAGTGAATCTTTAAGGAGGAAAAAAACCAAACCTGAACAGCAGCCCCAAAATATCTTGTTCAGGGTTAATAACTTTCTTTCCCCTAGCTATAATGGAACTTAGCCATCATCTATGTTTTTACTTTAATGAATACCAGAAAGCCTAATTTTAAACCTTGTCCTTGACTCTTCTTCAAGCAACTGGATCCAGATCATTCACGCTGTCACCATAATTTTAACTTAAAACCTTCCTAAACTATGTCTGAGACTCTTAGAAATTTCTTTATTTTGAAGTAAGAATAAAATCTTAAAATTTTTATAATTCTTAATAGTGTTTAGGTTAGCATAATCAAATGTATGCCTAGGAAATGCAAGCAGATTTTTGGTGAACAGTTATTTACGCAGAATAGTCTGGTCAGAGTTGAAGATGGTTTTTGATTGTTTAGGAATGAAATCAGCACTTAAAATATATTTTAAATAACATTTTGGAGCAATTTGAATGCAAAATAATAGGAAAGAAGTCAGTTAAAATGGAAAAGCTTTGTTAGAGAACTATTACTACTAATTCAGTTCACTTTTTTGCATAAGAAAGTTTTCGTTTTAACAGGATTTTCCTATCTTTCAGACTACTGGAAAAAATGATCGGTGTACTTCAAATGAATGTAAAGAAATGTTGTGGCTTTGGTCTAGTATTAATAATAATCTAGGTGACAGATGTTTGAGAAAACTGGGCCCAGGAGTTGTCACCTTACTGGCAAGAAATCCATGGAAAATATAGGTACATTTATTTTGCTGAACTATTTTTCTAAATGTTACTATGGTTTCTAAGTATGCCAACAACAGCCTCTTTACCTTCACATTTCCAAATCCTCCATGTCCTTTAAATCCTCCCTATTCAAAATGTAGTGTTTTAGAGGAACAACATGGACATCACTCTGTGAGCTTGTAAAACATTTGAACCTCAGGGCTGTCAGGGAGCTGTTGAATCAGAAGTTGAGTGGTAACAAGATCTCAGGTCTTTCATCACAAGAAATTTGACAGGTGACCTGTTGCAGAGACTTCCTCCAACAGGTTTGGCCCACAATGATTAGTGCCTCTTTTCTCTGGAGTCCCACCTTATCTCAGTCTGTTTTGTATAATTTAGCATTTGATTATATAATCTTATGTCGAGCAGTAATTATTGAAGCTCTACAAATCTGTTTCCCTCCCAATATTGTGATTTCCTAAGTCTGAGATAGGCAGGACCAATGCTGTATGCAGGACTTTTGCTACAGATTTGTTTCAGAAGCTTGTAATGCACATCTTTTATTCAAACATTTGTTGAAGTCATAGATTCCAAAACATTTTTTTAAGAAATCTTGATATTTACTCCAGCCTCGTATGAGTACATCATAGCAAAAAGGTATAAAGGCAATATGGCACATGAGTTAATTTTAAAATGTTTATGACAGTTATCTACTTTGTGACTTAACTAGAGTATTATTCTTTTATTTCTAAGTGAGTGTAAGATTGAAACTTAGTATCATTATGAGCCATCTCTTACATTTAAAGTATCAGTTAGAATTAGTTTTCAGATTGTATTAACTCTTTAGAGAATTAAAATATTAGCAAGAAAGGATTGAAAAATATTCTAAGAGAAAGCAATATAATATATATATTATACAGAAACACGGACACAGACACACACACACACACACACACACAACACAGATATTCTGACTTGTGTTATTGCTCCAGGCAATGTTAGAAAGAGAAATAGGTTTTCTGTTTAGGCTGATATTTTTTTGTAACCCTTATAAGAAAACCAGTAATAAGCTTATTTTAAGGCCAGAAGAAATAGTTTTTCTGTCAGAAAAGACCAAAAAAATTACTTTTATATATCCCATACCTTGTTTCTTTTGTTGGTATCAAAAGAATTGATCTATATTTG